GTAAAGAACGAGGTTTCTCCTAATGTATCAAACATGTTTGATGCCCTGATGCTCTTCTTGTTATTTTATTCTTTGCTATTTTGAATTATCCTCACAATTATTAACTTTCTTTAATGCTCTAGTCTGTGATGATTTGAGATGTAATTCGGAGGGGGTTTATACCTCAAGGAGGATGGCGTCGGCGTCGTGCCTGCCGTGCAGGCGGAGGGCCGTGAGGTTGGGCGCGTTCCTGAGCAGCGAGCACGCGTCCTCGGTGGGCAGGTCGGGCCCCAGCGTGCCCAGGTCGCGCCACAGCGCGCCGTCCCGCGAGAGGTCGTGGAGCCTCGAGGACACCCGCGACACCTGCGGAGGGGAGAAGAGGGGGACGCTGTGGCCTCCTTGGCGCCCCGCGTGCGCGCGCCTCGGGGCTCGCCGGCCGGTGGACGTAATGCGAGGATTGGAGAGAAATGTGAGCCACTTTCGGGAAAGAGGAGCCCATCTTCCGCCTCTGCCCCCTCCCCGCTCCTCTCCCCGGAGTTCCCCGCTGGCCTAGCTCTGTTTGTTGTGGGACCCATCCTTAGGCCCCTACATGGTTTGGTGGCCGATGCCACTCTGGCCCCCACGTTGCCCGCCCCCACCGCCCCGCGCCCCCTTACTCAACACCCGCCTGCGCCGCCCCCAGGACTGCGAGTCATGCGGCAGTACGTGAGTTGACTAGGCTCTGGAGACTCCGAGTCGAGCAAGGAACCAGAGGCTCCCTCCAACCTCCGCCACTCCCCTCTCTACCCGCCCCTCCCCTGCCCCCACCTCCCCCCCACAACCCCCTGGAGTCCTATGGCCCCGCGACCCCTGACCTCTGAAGGGTTGAAAGCCCTACCACGCAGCGCGCAGCAGGGCCTACCCGCCGCAGCTGGGGGCCCCACCTCTCAATGATATGACAACGATGCCACCATGAGCAAGGTGACTCTCTCTCTGCCCCCCCCCCCCCCCCCCCCCCTCTCTCTCTCTCTCTCTCTCCCCCTCCCTTTCTCCTCTACCCTCACCACTAAACTCTCGCCCCTGGTCGAAGCAACCCATCAGCCTTGGGAGGTATAAACTTCAGGCAATACGTATTTTTGTTCTTCTTCATATCTGGTTTGGTTCCAGTAAAATGCCATGTTCGAAATTTATGCGGATATAGACTGCATACATAATACACGAACAATCGGCGTGTTATTTATTGTGTGTGTGTGTGTGTGTGTGAAGGGGTGGGTGGGGAGGGTGATCTCGCTGTGGGCGGACAGCACACCCCACCCCGACCCGACCCACTCTCCCGTCTACTGGGCACACCCCCCTCATTAATTACCCCCCAAGTATTCGGATTGCGACGTTTACTAACAAGGCGCGCCCTCCCCGGCCCCCATAGGGCGCCTCCCTCCCGCTAGTCCACGGCCAGGGCCGCGACGAGTACCTGCAGCAGGTCCGGCTGGGGCAGCTCGCGGAGCACCCGGAGCAGCACCTTGTCCGGTAGGTCGTCGAAGGTCTTCCTGGGCCTGGCGCGGGGCCGCGCTCGGGGGTCTTGTGCTCGGCGGGCGCTCATGGCCGGTACGGGGGGGAGCGAGAGTCAGGTCAGGTGGTATATTCGGTGCGCCTCGCGCTTCGCCTCGAGGTCGTCGCCGCCGCCCGGACCGGAGAAGAAGATGTTGTGCCCCCGACCTGGAGATCCACTTGGCAGTTGTAGCGCACGGCAAACAGGCGGGGCAGAGCGGGGCGGCGAGGCGCGAGGCACGGCGGCGAGGGTAAACAAACAACACAGCGCGGCCCGTGCGCGCACAGCCCCCCGCGCACCCACCGCGCTGCCAACGCCTGCCTGACCCACCGGCCTGCCTGAACACACGCCGCGCGCCGCTCTCCCGCAACAATTGGGCGGGGATCTCTTCTTCTTCTCTTGCTCGCCCGTCCACTCCTTCTCCTTTGCTCTCCGCCCTTGCCCTACGCCCTGCTGCGCCCTGCTGCTGCCGCGCCTGCCGCTCGGCTAGGAACGACCTGTTGATTGCGGCCAACTGTTGTAGCGGGCCGTGAGGTGAGGCCGACGGGGGTCGGGCCAATCAAGTAGGGGAGAGCGCCTTTCCTGTGGGGGGGGGGGTCAGAATCCTTTTTCGCTCGCCTTCAAGGAGTCGGGGGTGGTCCTTTTGAAAGCGTGTAATCCCCCCGCGTGACCTGTCTGCTCCCCCCAAAAGTGGAGGCCATGCCGCGCGGCGCGGCGCCATGCTCCTCTTTTTTCCCGAGTGTCTTCCTTCAATCTCGTCTCGTTTCGTTCCACTACTTGGGTGCTTTTTGGCTCCACTCCGATCTGCTCTCCTTGCGCTCTGCTCCGGGGGGATAAAGGTGGAGAAGGGGCGGCGCGCGCTGTTCTTTGCATTGCCTTTTGCGCTCGCAGGGAAGAGATTACGATATTGTTCTGGGTATGCTGGGGGCGTGGTGGGGGGGATTTGGAGGGTTGGGGAGGGGGAGGGGCTCGTTGTGTGGGCGTCCGCCTTCCTGGCTGAAGCCCTTGTCGAAGCCATCTCACAACCCAGAGAGACGCGCGCTTTTGTCGGAGAGAGTCGTGTCATGAAAATTCTCATCTCTGTGCCTGCTGTGTGCCAATGTGCCCCGCTTTTCTGTGGAAGTCTGGTGTGGGGGTGGAGGGTGGTGCTGTGCGGGGAAGAGGGTCGTGGAGGGTGGCGCTGGGGAACGCAAAGAACTGCGTGGTGTTGGTTTTGGTCGTGTCGTGTCATGGTGTCGTGACGGGGTGCTGGCAGCTGACAGTAAGGTTTAGAGGTCTGAGGGTCGGTGAAACGAAAGTCCCGGTTGGCAGTCAGGTCACAGGTTTATTCCATCCGTCCTCCCCGTCCTGTCATCAGTCGGGCCCGGGTGCGGACGCGTCGCCCCGGCCGCGGCGCGGGGACGGAGTGCGGGGGCCGCGATCAGTCGCAGTCGGTCAGTCGGAGTCCGTCAGTCGGGCGGCCCTCGGCGTCGGCGTCCCCGCGGTGCGTCGGGGGCGTCCTGGAGGTCGGGGAGGAAGAGGAGGAATCGGAGCCCTCAGCCGCAGACGAGTCCGCAGGACAGGAGCGCGCGCGGTGCGGGGCCCGGCGGGCCTGGCCGGGCGGGGGCTCGGGCAGCTCTAGCAGTCCCAGCTCTTGCCGCAGGAGCAGATGCCGCGGCAGCCGCAGCCCTTGGCGAGACCGAGCTGGCCGAGGACGGGGATGCCGACGACGGAGGGGGCGGCGCATGAAGAGTCGGAGGTCTTGTGCACGATGTGGTTGACGACGCCACCGTGGCCGTAGCCGCCGTAGCCGCCGTAGCCCCAGCCGCCATGGCCCCAGCCGCCGCCGCAGCCGCAACCGCAGCCGTAGCCGTGTCCGTATCCACAGCCGCAGCTGCCTCCGCAGTGTCCTCCGCAGCCGCAGTGGCCTCCGCAGCCGCAGCACTTGCAGGCCTGTAAAAGTTGGACAAGTTAAGTCGGTCACTCGCTCGCTGACGCTGACTCAAGTCGCACAAGCCCGCACCCCGCACGTCCGCGCACCACCACGCGCACCAGCAGTCGCTCACTTCACTTCGTCAGCTTTAAATTCACTTCACTTCACACCGTCCCGTCGCTCTCGTCGCACAGAATGACAGTTCAGAAGAGTGCGTGTGGTGCCGGAAGGAAACCCCCGGCGGGGGTTCGCGAGTCCCTATCACTCAATCACTCTACTCACCGAAGCGATCTCGAAGAGCAGCCAGAGGGCGAACAGGGCGATGACGAGCAGCCTCATGTTGATGTTGGTGGAGGGGGTGCCTGTGGATCTGCTGTCCGACACGAGTGCAAACGTGATTGTGGCTCTCCCCGAGACGCGCACATCGTTTTATACTTTTGACGCTCCACTTCCACCGGCAGCCCCGCCCCACCCCGCCCTGCCGCCGCTCCGTGCGTCGCTACCGCTCCACCTCCACCTACCCTATGGCCGACCGCCGATTTTGTTTGCGATTCGTTTGAGGCCGGAATGCCCGCAAACCGCTGCAAGCACGGGGTGGATCCAAGAGTCGACAAGACAGCGGTCCCTAAGCAAGGAATGGGGGATGGGGGAGGGCACGAGAGGCTTTACTGTGTCTGCACCCTTTCGTACGGACCCGATCGCCCTGCCCTTCGTCTCCAGGGGCTCGTTACTGGGAAGGGTGATTCCCCTCCCCCCGTCCCAACCTCCACGACACACACACACAGACACGCATACGCACACCCACTCGGTCCTTTACTTCGACCCTGACCTCATAAAATCTCCCTGCTCATTTGGGCAAAATTCCGTCTCAACGCTCGTCGATAAAACTGGCGAGCGCATTGAACATCTCTCCCTGCCCCGTCCCCGTCCGACCACCAGTGCGCCGCCCTCCGCTCGGGGCTCGCTCATAAATCACAAGCGACCAACGCCCCCCTTCTCCCTCTCCCTCTCTCCCCCTCTCTTTCTCTTTCTTCCTCTCTCGACCCCAACACGCTCTCTCACTCTCTCCGAGGACGCCAAGGGTCAGTCCGGTCCGGCGGCCGGCGGCGGTCCGTGCATCAGGGACGTGTGGTGTGGTGGCGGACACGTCGGTCTAGCCAGAGAACCGTTTTCTTCTGAAATGGCGGCGCAAGGAGAATACATTAAAAAGCGCAAAATGCCAACACGCGTCACACTGCGCCATTTCATCTCACGGACCCCCGCCAAGTGTAAATTCCCGATTTTCATTCTACTTTGGGAAATTGTTGGTCTTAATGTGTCATCGAGGGACACATCAAAAATTTTTGCTCAAATTCATATTTGGGGATTATTTCGGGCATTCGTCCCGAAAGCTGCTATTTCAACTATTTTGTATAATTTTCAACATTACTTTGTTACAAGAAAATCGTCACAGTGCGGTTCTTTGGACGAAAATTTCGTCCGTTTTGCTCTATCTGAAACCGTTAAGGCGCTACCGCCACGTTTAGAAGGGGAATCACTAGGGCTTAAGAGCGACGGTTGCAAAAAGCAGTCCTACAAAAAAAGTTATAAAACAAAAGTCGAAGAAAAACTTAAGCTCTTTAACTTCTGTTCTATAGCATTTTTTGTGTGACTGCTAAAGCAGCTTTTACAACCGCTGCTCTTAAGCCCTAGTGATTCCCGTACATGACCCCTCCTAAACGTGGCGGTAGCGCCTAAACGGGTTCGGATAGAGCAAAACGGACGAAATTTTCACCCTACGAATCGCAATTTTGACGAGTTAACTGTATGAAAGTAGTGTTGAAAATTATGAAAAGAAATAGTTGAAATGGCAGCTTTTGGAACGAATGCCCAAAATAACCCCTAAATAGGAATTTGAGCAAAAAAAATTGATGTGTCCTTCGATGACACATTAAGACCAACAATTCCCCAAAGTAGAATGAAAATCGGGAATTTTCACTGGGCGGGGTTCCCTTGACAGGTGTGGGAAGAGAGCGGGGCGTTCGCGGGGTGGCGAGCTCGCGGGCCGACGGGGGCGGGAGCGCCCGCAGGACTCTGGGTAGGCAGCGCGCCACGCGCCGGTGTCCTCGGAGCAGCCGGCGGCCTACCTCCCGGGCTGTCGAGTGGCCATCCCGGGCTCGGGCGCCCACCCAGCTGTGGGGGAGACATGACGCCGCCCGCCGCTCTCGTCGAGGCGAATTGCGTCATTTAATTCAGAGTAAGTGTGGAGCGGTGTGGACTTTGAAGAGCGATCCTAAAATGAGACCCTCCCTAATGACCCTACGGGCTTTTAACCCCCCCTCTCTTCCCCAGTGCAGACAACCCTTACAGGTCCTCACAGGCACGGGTCCGCGGGTGGTCCGCATCTTGACGACCCCCTCCCAGAATTATCGCCCCCTCGCCTCCCCCACCATTTCCCACTTCCCTTTTGCACGCCGTTCTTTAGCAACTCCTCTGTCTCCGGCGCGGGCTCGGGGCGCGCGCTCTCCCTCTCAATCGTCTTGTTATCAGTTCGTCGGGGACGAAATCAGTCTGGAACAGCAGTCCCCAACTCGACACCCAACTCTGCGGGTGTCCTCGCCAACTTGGTGCGACCGACGCTGCTGGCCCTCCTGCCCTCCCGCAAATGCCATACTGAAAATCAGGGGGTTCCCGAGTTTAGTTTGAGTTTCCTGCGTTTAAGAAATTTCCGGGTACGGTCCACGTTAGAGGGGGCCCCCCCGCGCGCGCGTCGCTCGGACCCGACACGCGGTCTGCCAAGTAGGACAGTAAATGCGTGGCCTTGAAAAAGTGCAACGCAACTCGGGGCTCGCCGTCCGGCGCGAGCCCGGGAAGCCGCCGCAGCAGCGCAGCGCCCAGTTGTGTCAACGGACCGGGGGCGTGACGCACTGTGCGTGTGCGAAGCGGAGGCGCGTATGTAGCATGGACGTAGTTTATTCTACATCCATGGTCTGTAGTTGCATCCAGATGAGCAGCGGGAGTGGGGCGTGGGGCTGCCTCTGGCCTCGGGTATCGGGAGGAAAAAGTGCGCTGAGATGGAAGTGATGTTGGTGCAAAATGTGTTTATCGGGTCTTCATAGCACGTTTTTTGTTTGTTTTTTCGCAAACTATTAAACCTGTAGCGTCTAGACACCCGAGGTACCCACTTACTAAGGACGCAACTTGTGTGGTCCCCTCGAGCAAGTCCGTTGAAAACTAAGACTAGAAAAAAAAAAGGCAGACGAACTCAATGCAAATTCATACTCAAACGTATATATTTTTTATCCTTCTTATCGTACTCTTTAACAACTAAAGCGACTCCAGCAGGGTTTTAACAGACACTGTCCAGCATTGTCTATTATAGCTTATCAAAGATTGCAACCAATAAAACCAACAAGTCAAAATGAATGTGACAGGCACTCTTAATAAATACAGATCAAAATAAATTGTTGTCATATAAAGGCAAGTACATTTCATTTTACAATCATTATATCCATCATTCTCCACATAGGGGACATTTGGTGATATCGGGAACAATCAATTTGGTAACAAAATGTTTTTAATTACTCTTTTAAAAAAATGTTGTAATGTAGAAAAGGCAGTGGTCTACTAACTTCAAAATCACAACTTCATTAAAATATCACGTATCACATAGAAGTATTTTCACAGATCAGCCAGTTCCTGTAAAAATCCACACCAATGATATGTGGTGGATCTTGCTCCTATAAACAGTTATAAAGTGGTACTTAACACATTGTTCTTAAAAGAGTTCATTTAACCATAAATGTCTCTGAAGTAAAGGTAGTGGTGGTCAGATCAGATCACATTTGCAAAAATACAAATGCATTTCCAAACTTCTTTTATTTGGTTTGGTAGACCATTTTCATAAGGCTATGAACTATAGTAGAAAGAACAAAAGAGATTGTCATGGACATCATGCAAAATAGGTAGAATGGAATATTTCCAGAAATCATTGAATAATCATTCTTGAAACGAGCTGAAGGTAAATTAGGTACTGTTAGACACAGAAAATTTCTAGATGCTTTGACAGTGCACCACACTTTGAAAGGCTACTTGTTATTGATAAAGGTTTTTGGTCCCCAAACCTGTTCTAAGTACAAACAGGAAATTTAATGGACAAAAGACATAATGTCACCTGATGGTCCAGTTGCAAAAACAAGAAGAAAAGAGAAACACATCTGAAGCCAAACAATAACAGCTGAGGAAATAATGAAGCTTTGACACGGTCAGAAATAGAAAAGACGCTTCAAGGAATCTAATTAGCAGGATGATGCCATGGATTGAAACAATTTGGCCATGAATGACAAACAGTAACATTAACATTACCTAATACATGAGCATGATTGAAATGGTTCAATTAAAAGTGACAGATTATTTATTTTGCTCAGCTAGTTCTCGCTCAACAATTTTACGATATTCATCAAAACCACCTTCAATGCTATGAACACTCCCACCACCACATATCCAAAGTTCTTTACAGACCATACGAATCAGTCTTTCGTCGTGGGATACCAGAATAACTCCACCCTGAAAATAAATAGAAAATGTTGTCCATCAAAAAGAAATTTATAAAAGAAATGTTCTGAAATAATACAACTAAACATAATAAGCAAACATACCAAGTACTTGTTGATTGCAAGACCTAAAGCATGAATCGATTCAATATCTAGATGGTTAGTAGGTTCATCCAAAACGAGAAAGTTTGGATTACCCATGCACATTACAGCAAATGCAACCCGAGACTTTTGGCCTCCAGATAAACTAGCTATACTTTGGAGAGCAAGGTCACCAGACACTCCAAAACTACCTAGTTGTCTTCTGTACTCTTCCACTGGTTTTCCTAAGAGAAAGAATGCAAAGATTTAAAATTTGATATATTTTCCAAGGAAAAGTGATCATTAGAGCTACTTCAATACACATACCTGGGTATGTCTTTTGTAACAGTTCAACAGAACACACATTCATGTCTAGTTGATCAACGTGATGCTGGCTGAAGTACCCAAATTTCAAATTACGATGAATAACTCTATCACCCCGTGTAGGCGCATTGATGCCCATGATAATTTTTAGTAAAGTGGTTTTACCAGCTCCATTGTCTCCAACCTGACAAAAAAATTATGGAATTACAAGGGGGTTAATTTCAATCGCTAAATACTAAATTACTTAATTAGAAATATTAAAAATACTTATTGTACATCACACATCACAATATATGAAAACTACTTACAATACATATCCTGGATTCTAAAGTTGCATTGAGATTAACATTACTAAAGATAGTTCGACCTGTACTTTCATAAGCAAAGGACACCTCAGATAGTTGCAGAATTGGTGGTGAAAGAGGTTCAACAGGAGGGAATTTTAACACCACATCAACTTCTTTTTCCACTGGCTTCAACTCTGGTCTGTAAATAGTAGCAAATAAGCAAACTTATATGATTGCATTATCATCAGTATTTTAAACCAATGGAAGACAAAAAAATTAAAACTCACAATTTTTCAAGCATTTTAATCTTGCTCTGGACACTTGATGCTCTGTTTGCATTGTACCTAAAGCGATCAATGAAAGCCTGGACATGGTCTCTGTGTTGCTGCTGGGCTTCCCACTCCCTTTGTTGGTTTTTCAGCTTTTCATTCTTAGTTTTCTCAAACTGCTCATAATTACCCCTGGAAATTAGTATTGTGGTGTTATTCATACACATGTATATGGTACATTAAGGCGTAGCAAAACTAAGATGTTACAGATTTTTGTCAATAACAACCTGTAAGCTTCTAATCTCTGAGCATAAAGATGGAGTATGTCTGTAGGCACAGTATCCAGGAAATTACGGTCGTGGGAGACAACAAGTAGAGTTGTAGGCCAATTCTGGAGATAATTTTCTAACCAGATGATAGCTTTGATATCCAACATGTTGGTGGGTTCATCCAACAGCAACAGATCTGGTCTGAAAACAAAAGGAGGTGGTGAGTAAGATTTTGTTTAACCCCAACTTTAAAATAAGCAAAATAAAAGTGTGTGTGCATATATGCACAGAAGGACTCTTACTTAGAAAATAGTGCTCTGGCAAGAGCCAAACGCATTCTCCAGCCACCAGAAAATTCTTTTGTCTTGCAACTTTGCATTTCAACAGTGAAACCAAGACCATTGAGAATACGAGATGCCCTTGCTGGTGCCTTGTCAGCTTCCATGTTTTGAAGAGCTATGTAAACTTCACTTAATTCGTCTGACATTTTGGTATCAGCAGTTCTACAAATTTACATCATTATTAGAACAGAAAAAGGTATTTTTTCCTGAACTTTATAAGATAGTTAAGTCTAATCTCAGATCAAATAAGCATTTTGGTCTACAAACCCTGCATTCACAGCTGCAGTAATTTCTTTTTCACGTTTAAGTAATTCTTCACGTTTTGTATCGCATTCAAGAACACTTTGCAAGGCAGGGGTCTCATCTCCAACAACTTCCTGTTCCACATGCAGGATTGATATGTGAGAAGGAATACGAAGCTGAGCCCTGAAATCAAATGGAAATAGTGAATAAAAGTTATGGCCTCAGATTAGGTTTCCTTGAGAGGAAAAGAAAAACAAATGCATACCCTGAGATCATACGCAGCAATGTAGTTTTACCATGTCCATTTCTCCCAACCAGTCCATAACGCCTTCCAAATGAGAGAACAATGTCAGCTCCTTGTAGAAGTACTCTGAAAACAAAATGGAATGATGTTGAATGTTCAGTAGCAAAAATTCTAGGAAATACAATTGTCATTGGACTTACTTATCTCCAAATGCTACATCAAAGTTCTCAATTCTAATATCTTGAGTCCGATTTGATCCTTTGGCTTCCATTTTGGCATCTTTTCGACTTGTAACCTGGGATGCTGAGGCTGTTTCCAATTTTACGGGTGCAGCTACAGGACGGTTTGTCATTTCTGCAGTTCTTTTCTCTTGCCTTTGCTTTATCTTTGCTTCAGCCTTTTCTAACTTTTTAGCATCCACTTTCTAGATAATTCAAAATATTAAAAAGAGAAAAAAGAGGGGAATTTTTGAACGACATGTAATTGCAGGTTGTAAATCATTTTACTTTAAAATACATACCAAAACATCATCTCTTTGAGTGACCCATATGCTCTTAATTTCAGTTATGTCATTGTCCTGATTGTCTGATAATGACTTCAGATGGACTGGCGCTTCCAAAACTCTATTTACTTTTTTCACAGAATCTGTTTCTGGTCTCATTATGTCCCACAGCTTTTCACATATATCTTTTATATCATCTTCTGACTTGTCATCCCCCACCTCCTGCAAGACTCCTCCAATGGCTTCATATATTTCTTCGCTGTCTTCAAAATCATCTGCGGAGCCTGAGAGTACTCCTGCAAATTTCAATAAACACCAAAGATAGTAAGAAAGTTTTGCAGACATACAAAACTGCGCTGGAATGCTTATAATGATTTCATGAGTTTAATGATTTTGAAATAAACATGAAGGGACATCAGAAAAGTTTACAAACAAACTGTGTGAAATTTGTTAGACTACAATAGAGTTAACCATCTAAAAGAGACCAGACCATATCTAGTAGAGAAATTAAAAGGCGAGGAAGATCTTAAGCAACACTTTCCTAACCTCTAATCCTACCGTGCTTTCGGTGGGAAACAGTGACAAAGTGAGGGGACAACTCATGACACACTAAACATTTCTGAAGTAATAAGATTATCTTCAAGCAATACCTTCAACATATTGGTACACTTCATCGTCAATCTTTGGGAATTCTTCTTTTATGTATTCCAAGTAGGCTGCCATGATGGTTCCAATTCTAATCCGTTCGTGAAGGATGCCGTCGTGTACTGTCAGGAGCGGTCTGCCACCGGTCAGAAACGTCATCGGAAAACAGAAAGGCGTTTGTGGTGCGGTCGCCGGTTGTTTGTGTTGTGATAAAAGTCGGGTTATGTTTCGCTAGAACAAGCATTTTGTCATTTCTATTTGTCTGCATAGATCTCATAATTTTCGGTGAAAATGCCGACGTGGAATCAGATTCAGTCTCAGCTTCGGAATCCAAACAACCCAGTAGTTTTCTTCGATATTAATGTGGGCACTATTGTAAGTTGCAACTTTTGTTCCCTACTTATGAAAGATTTGAAAATCTTATTTTCTGTAGTGTCATCAGCTATTACCAATATTTGAATGATTGATGTACCTGATTCATAGTTTACCAGTGTGAGACCCTCTGCCGTGGTTGTCTTAGTGTGTCATGCATTGGATCTTTCGTGCTCAGTATGTAGTGGTCAATGCAATCTCATCTTATTGCAGGAAATTGGACGAATGATTCTAGAGCTATTTGCTGATATTGTTCCTAAGACAAGTGAAAACTTTAGACAGTTTTGTACTGGGGAGTACAGAAAAGATGGTGTGCCTCTTGGCTTTAAGGGGGCACCATTTCACAGAGTTATCAAGGATTTTATGATACAAGGTGGAGATTTTGTTAATGTGAGTATTTTTTACTTTCCTCCTTTTCTTGTGTGAAATTTTCATTTTTGACTAATCTCTTTGTTTTGTTTTTTTCTTCTTGAAGGGTGATGGAACCGGTGTCATGAGTATTTATGGTGGCACTGCCTTCCCAGACGAAAATTTTACACTTAAACACGATGCTCCAGGACTATTGTCTATGGCCAACAGCGGGAAGGATACCAATGGGTGTCAGTTTTTCGTTACTTGTGCAAAATGTAACTTTCTTGATAGCAAACATGTAGTTTTTGGTCGAGTTATTGATGGACTTTTGGTTATGAGAAAAATAGAAAATGTACCAACAGGTCCAAATAACAAACCAAAAATTCCAGTTGTCATCTCACAATGTGGCCAGATGTAGTTTAAGTTCAATTGTGTAATTTGAGAGCTCTTACCCCAAGAGAAATCAGGAATTTTGTCAAAGAAAGACAAGGCTAGTTGCTCATCTACTATGATTTATATACCTATCACATCAGTTTGGCACGGCACAAATGTTAAGCAAGTACTGCTTCTTCAACTTGGAAAAAAATAAAAAAATTTAAACAGTTTTAAATTTTTAATTTATAATACATAAGTAACTGACAAGTCGGGTCTAATTTCTAATTCATCTTCTTGTCAAAATTATTTAGAATCACATGGATGTGAATTTCCTTTGGTCACAACATCTCACGGGGAAGTAGTCTTGATCAAATTAATATCAAAAATAACCACCTGTCTGAATCTTAAGACTCAACAACATTACTTAAATAAATAAATAATTGAGAAGGAAATGTCCTGTGTATGTTTTTCTTCCTTCTACTTTTGCTTATCACACTTAGATGTGAACATGTACACACCAGTTGACATGCTTCAAAAATGAGTAAATAATTACAGTCGGGACAAGTCGAGAAGTTTACCTAGTTATGAGGTTTACCATTAGTTGCTTCAAGCTTAACAGTGTGTATTGATGGTTTCCCAAACCGTTTTTCAGCTTCAGTGAAAAAGGCACGTTCCATTTGTCGCACTAGCTCATTAAAGAAAACATGGGCCAGCTGAGAGTGAAATGCTGAACGAAAACTGAAGGATACATAAAAATCAATAACACATGACTGTGTTTCTGTACTGAGGCCTGGGCTGAATTTCCATATGGTTGTGAGATGATCAAACAAATGACCCTCCGTACACTCTGCCCTACAAAATTAGTATGGTTTTAATAGAACAGCAAACAAAAAAATGTTGCGACTAACCATAAGTTATATGAACTTACTTTACAAGTCTGGGTCGAATGAGGGATACTTCTGACACGTAACTTTCAGTAATGGGTGGGAAACCAATGCTTAGCTTCCCTTTTAAGAAAGCTGGTTTTCGTACCGTAATATCTGATTGTTTACAGAATGGAACAAATTCCTTATACTTTTCAACATCAGATACAACTTGAAACATTTGTTCCATTGAAAACCTAGAAATGAGAAAAAATTGATTTTTTAAAATAATGGCGTAAACAGTCGCAACAAAAGTCACATTGACATTAATCATAACTTACCCGACTAATTTTCGACCCCGGTACTCCTTCGTTTTGTCAGAAAAACTTGATCTATTAAAAAATGGCACGTGACATGTAGAACACGTACTTAAGGAGTTGATTTTAGAATGTCTACTGTCAAAAGTATGCAAGATTGCTCCATTGTCAATAAATCTGCAAGAAACACAAGACAAGGATAAAAATAAGGTATGGTACATGGGATAGATTCTTAGGAGAAATGACATGTGGAGATACTAAAGACAACGATTCCTCCCGACATCAAAGTCAGGTCGCGTCTCAATGTTTTCTGTTTTGAAATAGAGTGTCATAACCACATAATGAGCCAGCAAATGTGAAATAAAAATACATACTTTACAGGGACGACAGCCTGTCTCACCGAGTTCAGTCTCAAAATTCGAAAACTGTTACAATAACAACGCCGTAACAATGTCATTCTAGTTTCTACCCAAAAAGATCTGACGGAAAAAAAAATAGTTGTGAATATTCAAGCTTGCAGAAGGATATGTTACTCTCAGCAGACGCTTTTCAGTTTTCACTGCCGGCATGATCCTTCCGCGAAGCTTGTCTTTTTCTGGTTTCGAGCAGGCTAATTGGTTGATCAGTTGCTGCGTTTTTCCTGATCTATTTTAACATTCAAGATTGACTCAACTTTTATGTTGGCGTTGGTTTGACAAATTAATTTGTTTCGTTAGGTTTTGGTTGGTTTCAGCCGTTTAGGCACAGTAGCAGCAGCTGCGGCCGTGATTTTATAAACATCAGCAATCAGCAAAATGGCGGCCAATATACCCCGCACCCACGAAGGTACGATCAAATTTATTTAAATTTAAAAGATTGACTGGGATTCTGTATTCTAATTTGGTGTGCATTTCATCTAGATAATTTACTTAGTCAGTGGGTTCAAATTCTTCTCAAATCGACTGCCCCGAATGTTTCAAATTTGAGCCGAAATTCATGTGCCTAGCATGTTTCCTTGGTCTATTTTGAAGTTTCCAATGCTGTTTATTTATGTAAACAGTCAGTTGAAACCAACCGCATCACTGTACTTTTGGTGCTACGGATAGGACACTTTGCTCGGTATTCTTAAATTTACGATTTACTCCTTAATTGCACGGCATTCTACTACTTATGGGAGAAGCCTGCGGTAACCTAGCTTTTTACGTTTGCTTCCCGTTCTCTTGTACTTGCCCTATTACTTTTTACTACTGGTGTATTTTCAAATTCGAAGTTCCCTCAGAATCTATGATCAGTTGGCTCATCTTGGCAATAGGGATTTTTATTTAACCTCTAGTGCAATTTGTTTACTTTTTATGTTGTCCCACATCCCTATTCAACGTTTGTAGCGTGTTCTGAAAAGTTCATCATAAGTAATTATTACTTTCTCCAACATTTACAGACATTGAAGCGCAGATAAAGGACCTTCAATCTAAAAAGAAGGAAATCGCTGAGAATGAAATCAAAGAAAAGGATAGAGTTGGTCTTGGAGAAACTGGTTACTTTGATAGTGACATTTATGATGGTGGTGGTGGAAAATTTGAAGGATATGTCACCTCCATCGCTGCAAATGATGAAGTTGAGGTATGCTTTCTCGCAATGATTCTGTTCTTTCTTACATTGGTACATTTGTCATAATGATTATTATTGTTTTATCTTGTTCAGGATGACGAGTTTGACTCGGTCTCCTTCACTCAAAACAAAAGAACAGGTTATACTGCTCCAGCTGCTCTTCTCAATGATGTTGCTCAGGTACTTTTTGTTTTTAGTCTTGCTTTTCACTCTATAGTATTTCTAGTTTTATCAAACATCTCTATTTTCACATTTTTTTTCAGGCTGACAAGGACTATGACCCCTTTGCTGACAGACGAAGACCAACAATTGCAGATAAGGAGGATGAATACCGGCAACGGAGAATGAGGATGATCATTTCTCCGGAGCGAGTGGATCCCTTTGCTGAAGGTTCGTTGTCCAATTATGATCTCCAGTGCATAGTCAGTAGATAGTATGCCTTATAAAGTAGTGTGTGTTCTGTGAACAATCATGGAAATGGTGTTTACAGAGATAAATTAAGAACACCTAATGCTGTGGGATGTTATGGCCATTTCATGGCCTCATTTCTCTCGTTAACATAACAGCATTAGGCAAATTTCTAGACAGCTGATTTCTAAAGTATGCTTAAAATGTTTTTCAGTACTTCTTTTCTTACTTATGGATTTTGTGCTTCTTAATGATGAACTGGCTTAAATTCAAGGCATTCTTTTTTTCATTTTGAAGTGTATATTCAAGTGCTACAGATTAATATTGCTTTTAGTGTTCATCTTTTTTCAATTCTTGCATACCTTTCATTAATCAGCTGTTTAGCTATTGGCATTTGTGATTTGCAGTCCAACATGTTTTTCTCCCTAATACTTCGTAAAACATACCCATCTATATCTGTACATTTTCAGAAACATTTGTCAAGCTGCTCTAAAAATTCAGGTTGACACCCTGCATTTTCTTTAACCCATTTGCCATATAAAGTACACAAATGAATTCTAGTTGTTTATGAGCCCTGTTATCTGATGCATGAATCATGTAATCTTGCTGACTGAAAGTTCCTCGTATATATTATCTATCTGTTGTACATGTAATGGTGAATTACTGGATGTGTCAGGGACCAAACATATGCTGTAACATTTATTTTAGCCTCATATCACATTTTCTACAAGATGGATTCAGCCTCTATTTGGTACAGATTATTTCCACTAAAGATGGTGTCCAGTGTGGGAAGTATTATGTCAGCAAGAATACATCAACTTTAGTCTTTTCTTGTTAGGGAGTGAGAGGATTGAGTGAATGTGTGTGTGAATGATTGAGTCACATCATTGTTTAATAAAGTTCTGATCGTTATTGATAAGCTTCCATTATACCTTTCTCATGGAAATGTAATGGACAGAAGTGAACTTTCTTCTCCCATTGGTTCCTGTTATCAAAGTCAATCGGCACTGCTGTCATGAAATGGGCCATCTTATATTTTTTTGTGAAATGGCCTATGTTTAGCTCAATTCAAACTTTCTGCAGATTCTAAACATATGTGGCCATGCTAGATTTGCCATTTGATACCACGTACTAATAAAGGTGAATTTCTTCTCTCCCTACCCGAGGATGTCTAGCCCGAACCTGAGCTGCTCAACGGGAAGCCATCATCTCAAGTGTCTGGTGCGGGAAAGAAAGGATACCCTTCGGTGTCTTACCGTCAATACATACACTGACAATCACCTGGTCCATAGATTACATTTTAAATTTCTAATATGTATCTGTGCTTGGGGTAACTAAGGATTATATTGGGCTCTCTTTTCTGTTAAAGTACATTTTTGTTTTTCAACTTTTATTTGTAATATCTCCAATTTACTAAGGTCAGCACAGATCTTTTTATTCTAAGTACTAACAAATAATTATTAAATTATCACATACGTACCTAAAACTAGCTACAACTTCTGAATCACCCTTAGTGTTAGTTGTATGAAAGAGTGTGAGTGAGCTAACAGAAAAGTACTAATGGAACCAGATTGTTTGTAGGTGCTTGCAGTAAAATGGAGAATCAAACATCTTTCCTGGAAGATATCGCCATCCGGCGTCACGTACGTACCCAAAGTGTTGTTTGCTGTGTTCACCTACTTATTAGGCCTGGTTTCAACGATCCTTACCGTCTCTGGAATAGTGTTTTGTTCAGTAAACATAAATATTTCCGTGTTACAGATGAATTACATGTTTATGTAAAGAAAATAAGTAGTTGAACACAGCAACAATGGTATCAGGGTAGCTACAGCAAATTATTTTCCTCCCCATATGTGCATTTTTTTTCTGGATAGAACATTAGTCGCTATAATTCATAGCCTCTACTTATTATATATTGTCATGAAACTGTAACTTGAATTTTTTACTTGTTCATGTTTTGTTTTTTTCCATCTCATTAGTAATATTTTCAACTCTGTCCTTAAAATTTTAAATACTATGACCAAAGTGGCACCCTGATTACCCTAGGGGAAAAAAAGACATATCAAGGACCTGTTGACAAGAGCGGGTTGTAAAGCAAAGTCTAATAGTTACGCCGCGTGCGTGACATTTTTTTTTGTGATTGCAGGCGGAAAGACTCCTGATGTTGGCTCGAGAACATACACAGAGATTATGCGTGAACAATTATTGAGAGGAGAAGAAACTGAGGTAAAGATAATCTACTACATTCAATTTACTGAAACAAACCAGCTTTTACTCAATTAAATTACAAGTCCCTTGTTTTTTCTTTTGTTTTTATTAGTTGAGGAAGAAAATCTTGGAGAAAGCCAAAGAAGGTACCTTAAAAGTTGTTAGCAACGGTGATTCTGCCAAAGCTGCACCTAAACGCCGAGGGCGGTGGGATCAAACTGAAGATGCTGGAACACCATCAGAAAAAAAGAAAAAAGAAACATCAGCTTGGGACAAAGAGGATGTGAGTATCTATCCCTCAAGATACAGCATTTATTTTCCTGCTACATCCGTATAGCTCTGAAGATTGTCAACACTTTCTATGCAACGGGTCTAGACCCAAGACCTGGTAACATAGTCCCCCTCCTCTAAAAGTGTCCTCACTCTAACAATTTCATAGTCCTCTAATGAAAGTTATGACTTGTACATTATTGTGAGAACCGGGGGATCCGCCACTAAATGCTCGCATGCGAGGTGTTACATCTTAGGCCTTGGATGAATACATTCTTATCGCTTTACCCTATTTATATCTGTATCTCTCTAAATCATTCTCTTAGTGTTGTTCATGTATTGTTAATTCTTTAAGGCAACCCCTGCTATTTCTCGTTGGGATGAAACTCCTGGTCATCCAAAAGGCTCGGAAACTCCGGGAGCTACTGCTACTCCAGGAGTAAGCACTCGCATGTGGGAACCAACACCAGGTCATGCTACTCCAGGTGCTGTCACTCCAGGCAGAGAGACACCTGGACACGACAAAGGGATGTCCAGTCGCAGAAACCGGTGGGATGAAACTCCAAAAACTGAGAGAGGTGTGTTGATCCTTTTCATATCCAATGGATTCATTTCAACATATATTTTTGGTAGCTGATATGTCACAATTTTTCTATCTGATCTATTTTTAGAAACTCCTGGTCACAACAGTGGATGGGCTGAAACTCCGCGAACTGATCGGGTACCAGGTGGTGACCTCATCCAAGACACACCTGGCTCAGTAAGCAAGAGAAGGAGCCGATGGGATGAGACACCATCTAATCAGATGACACCTTCAGCAATGACTCCCTCTGCCATGACACCTCATACTCCTGGTACACCATCAACTCCAATGGGAACACCAGGTGGAACCCCTTCAATGATGACGCCAAGTGGAGTGACTCCGACTGGACAGAAAGCTATGGGAATGGCTACCCCTACACCAGGTAGTTTTTCTCCCATTAACATGCATGTTTTATTCAATGGTCTCAAAGGATAACAAAAAATTTTGTGGTTTTATTTGAAGGTCATCTTGTCACCATGACTCCTGAACAAATGCAAAACTACCGGTGGGAGCGGGAAATTGATGAGAGGAACCGTCCCCTTGCTGATGAAGAACTGGAAACTATGTTCCCAGTAGGGTATAAAATCCTACAACCTCCAGCTGGTTTGTTAATCTTGTTCATCTGTGATAATTAGTTGTTCTCATCATATGTCATATAATTTTACTTATCAATTTTTCTTTTTAGGCTATATTCCAATTAGAACTCCAGCTCGCCGCCTAACAGCCACCCCAACGCCCATTGCTGGAACTCCCCAAGGATTTTTCATTCAGACTGAAGACAAATCAGCAAAATACATGGACAATCAACCCAAAGGCAATTTACCATTCATGAAGCCTGAAGATGCCCAATATTTTGACAAACTCTTGGTTGACGTTGATGAAGAAACACTCAGCCCAGACGAACAGAAAGAAAGAAAAATCATGAAGCTTTTGTTGAAGATTAAAAATGGTACTCCACCTATGAGGAAAGCTGCCCTTCGTCAGATAACAGACAAAGCAAGAGAGTTTGGTGCTGGCCCCTTATTCAACCAAATTCTTCCCTTGCTAATGTCCCCAACTCTTGAAGACCAAGAACGGCATCTTCTTGTCAAGGTTATTGACCGGATATTGTACAAGTTGGACGATTTGGTGCGCCCATATGTTCACAAGGTATTTTCATGAGAAAGCTGGTCAACATTTTTTCTTGAGCTTATTTTTAAACCATTACTCATTGCAATAATCTATTATGCTCTTGTTCAACAGATTCTTGTGGTTATTGAGCCCTTGTTGATTGATGAAGATTATTATGCTCGTGTAGAAGGCAGAGAAATCATTTCCAATTTGGCTAAGGCTGCTGGCTTAGCCACTATGATCTCAACCATGCGACCTGATATTGACAATATTGACGAGTATGTACGGAATACTACTGCTCGTGCTTTTGCTGTGGTTGCATCTGCTCTGGGAATTCCGTCTTTGTTGCCTTTCTTGAAAGCTGTTTGTAGGAGCAAAAAGTCTTGGCAAGCACGTCACACTGGTGAGTTTTTGACATTGCTGCATACCCACTCCAGTATTTCAGATTAAGATTAGCAAGTACTTGTTTTATGTTCCAGGTATCAAAATTGTTCAGCAGATTGCTATTCTAATGGGTTGTGCAATCTTGCCTCATCTAAAAAGTTTAGTTGAAATTATTGAGCATGGTCTTGTAGATGAACAGCAGAAAGTCCGTACTATTACTGCCCTCGCTATTGCTGCTTTAGCTGAAGCTGCCACTCCATATGGTATTGAAAGTTTTGACTCTGTTCTCAAACCATTATGGAAGGGTATCAGAACTCACAGAGGAAAGGTAAAGATCCCAATGTGTTATAGTTTTGGCTACTGATTAGTATGAGGCTTTTATATTGGTCTGTTTCATTAAAACTTTATTTTTACTATTTGTGCAGGGTCTTGCTGCATTTTTGAAAGCAATTGGTTATCTTATTCCGCTTATGGACGCTGAATATGCTAACTATTACACCAGAGAAGTGATGCTTATTTTGATCCGTGAATTCCAGTCACCTGATGAAGAAATGAAGAAAATTGTTCTAAAGGTATTCATTCAAATTCTTGTCACTCCTAACTTAGCTATTTTCTACTTAGAAGTCCTTATTATGTATAATTTGTTTATCAGGTTGTGAAGCAATGTTGCGGAACTGATGGTGTTGAGCCCCAATACATCAAAGATGAAATATTACCACATTTCTTCAAGCACTTCTGGAATCATCGCATGGCACTTGACAGAAGAAATTACAGACAGGTATTGTTTTTCTACATATCTATTCTTCTCTGTTTGTGTGTTGAAATATGTTGAGTTCAACAAATCACTCACTGTTGCTGGATGAGCCTACCTTTATTGCAATCAAGATACTACCCTAGCTCTATGATGAATAGTCTCAATTTGTTAATGGTCACTTTTTCTCTTTTCGCACAGCTTGTTGATACTACTGTTGAAATAGCCAATAAAGTGGGTGCATCTGAAATCATCAACAGGGTAGTGGATGACTTGAAAGATGAAAATGAGCAATACCGTAAGATGGTCATGGAAACAATTGAAAAAGTCATGGGCAATCTTGGAGCAGCAGATATTGACTCTCGTTTAGAAGAACAGCTTATTGATGGTATTTTGTATGCCTTCCAGGAACAAACCACTGAGGTACAGTAACATGAAATTTTTCATTGTTAGTAATTAAAGTTGTGTCAACAAAAATGTGGGTCACTCCCTACCTACGGTCTACTACTGTCAATCCTGTCTGATTTCACCATTATTCCATTACTCTAGTGACTAAACTTGGGTGTATCATTTTCCAGGATGTTGTAATGCTGAATGGTTTTGGAACCATTGTCAATCAGTTGGGCAAGAGAGTCAAAGCTTATTTGCCACAGATTTGTGGTACAATTTTGTGGCGTTTGAACAACAAATCAGCTAAAGTACGACAACAAGCAGCCGACCTCATCTCTAGGATAGCTGTTGTTATGAAAACCTGCCAAGAGGTATGTGACTTTGTTTACTGATTTTTAAATTACTTAGATTGGTAAGTTTGCCCCCATCTTTCAATTTACTACATATCTATCTCTATAAATACTTTCAGGAAAAGCTGATGGGTCATTTGGGTGTTGTGTTATATGAGTACTTAGGTGAGGAATATCCAGAAGTATTAGGTAGCATTCTTGGGGCTCTGAAAGCCATTGTCAATGTTATTGGAATGACCAAAATGACTCCACCAATTAAAGATTTGCTACCTAGACTCACCCCAATTTTAAAAAATCGTCATGAAAAGGTATGTGTTGCTGGTTCTGTGTTTGTTTTTTAATCCTTTACTTTAGTATCAGAATACTTTACCATTATACCTCTTGGTGTTGCTTCATATTTCAGGTTCAAGAAAACTGTATTGATCTTGTTGGGCGTATTGCTGATCGAGGACCAGAATATGTATCTGCTCGAGAATGGATGCGTATCTGTTTTGAACTCCTGGAACTTTTAAAGGCTCACAAAAAAGCTATTAGAAGAGCCACTGTAAATACATTTGGATACATTGCCAAAGCAATTGGGTAAGTGGCTCACAGTAGAGTTCAATGTGTTTATATATACTTCTGTGGTTCACTAATCCTTTAATCTTTTCTGCATTTTCAGTCCTCATGATGTACTTGCAACATTGCTTAATAATTTGAAAGTACAAGAAAGACAAAACCGAGTTTGCACAACTGTTGCAATTGCCATTGTTGCTGAGACATGTTCACCGTTTACTGTTCTCCCAGCCCTAATGAATGAGTACAGAGTACCTGAACTGAATGTTCAAAATGGTGTTTTAAAATCATTATCATTCCTGTTTGAGTATATAGGGGAAATGGGGAAGGATTATATCTATGCTGTCACACCGCTCCTTGAAGATGCTCTCATGGACAGGTAAAAGACACTTTTATTTTATGCTTCATGCATTAAATCTTCGTGAAAATTTTGAAACTAATATTCTTTTACTTATTGCTAGGGACCTTGTTCATCGTCAAACAGCCTGCGCAGCCATTAAACACATGGCTTTGGGAGTGTACGGCTTTGGTTGTGAAGATGCCCTCATTCATCTTCTGAATCATGTGTGGCCAAACATTTTTGAAACATCACCTCATCTTGTGCAAGCGTTCATGGATTCAATAGAAGGAATGCGTGTTGCCTTAGGTCCTATAAAAATTCTTCAGTACACATTACAGGTTAGATATAATTTGGAATCAAACTGTTTCCCTGCTGTGCTGTGCTATGTGCTTAAAACTTGTCTACTTGTTTTCTTGTCACATAGGGGCTTTTCCACCCTGCTCGTAAGGTTCGGGACGTTTACTGGAAAATCTACAACTCATTATACATCGGTGGACAAGATGCCTTGGTTGCCGGATACCCTCGAGTTGAGAATGACCCCAAGAATGTATATGCACGGTATGAGCTGGACTATGTACTGTAATGCAACTATTTACTGTAATTATTTCTACTAGTAAATTTCATGAACTTTATGAATTTATTGAGCATACTTGTTTGGATCAAGTTTGCTTTTATTCTTAAATATTACCAACATTGTGTCAGTCATTCAAATTTTTATTTCTTTTTATTTCTTAGTTTTGAGCATTAGCCTTGAGCAATAGTTGATCGTACAAAAATCTGGAAATAATTGCATGAAAGCCTGTGGCTGCTTTTTTCCCTGTGTTGAACATGTTGCATATTGTTTAATTTAATTTTAAGAAAAAGGCAATTATAGGTCGTGCTATCAATAAAAAGGAAAATATGTAGAAATATTACAACAATAAAAATTGATAAAGGATGATTTGTATTTAATTTCTCACCACACGAGGTTACATATGTATTTACATTTGACAGTAAGTGTTGATTACAATAGTATCGTCTCACTAATGTTTATAACTATTTTTGTACTGTTTTGACTCTCGAGGGGACCGCGATCGCCTATATTCTCTGGAATGCGATCTCTTTCTTGTCCTTTCTCTTGACTGTGATCGCTCTTTCCTTCTTGAGGTTTTTGGATACTTGTCTTTTAGGGATGGGGAGTTACCCCTGGAGGGTGAATGCCTGCGGCTTTTCTTGGCATTGTAGTCTCTTGCATATTCTTCTTTTATTTTATCTTTCTTCCTTCTGTCCATTTGAGGGCTGGATGATCTGCTTTTCCCTCTACTATGAGACCGGGATCTGGACACTCGACTTCTTCCTCTTGAATTTGACCCGTTAGCTGGTACTGCTGGTTGGTGTTTTGAATGGCTTTGAGGGGGGCGGCCTTCAAAGTCCATTTTGCGACCTAACACAGAGTAAAGTTCATCCTCAACTTCAGTTTTGATCTTAGGAAGACGCTCTCTTTCTGATCCGTCCTCTTCAGTTTTTGGAACTCTTGACTTCTTTTTAGCCTTTGAAGAGTCACTACCACTGTCTGCATCACTGGAGTTTTCCTGTTTGATTCCCTCCTTTCTTTTGTCCCTCTTCTGCTTCTTTTTTTTCTTTTTCTTTTCCATCTTTTCTAACTTTCTATAACAAGAAAAAGAACAATAATACATTTAACACATATCACAAAACATTCCTATTGGGAAAGAGGGAGAGTTGGTACGTAAATTTGACTCTTACCTCAAAAGTTTTAACTTTTTCTTAGTAGATAGCCCTTCTAGGAACTTCAGCTCTGTTTCATTCATATGATCCTCATCTTCACTGTCAGATGGTATCAGCTGCTGGTTGCTTACATTGGAGGGGCCTGTAGGAAGTTCAAGAAGTCCCACAGCACCTTTTTTCATTGCTAAACCATCCTCTCGCATCTGTCTGATAAGGTCTGATGGGTTTGAATTTGATCCAGTCTCTGTCCCAGTCGCTGACTGATTGTACATTGGACACTCCTTGTCTAACATCAAAATAACAAAAATATGTGTTAATAAAAGACATTTACCGTGGCAAAAAGATGGCAATCGGCAACTATTTTTCGTTCAATAAAAATACTAACCAGTGTTAATGTGACCCCATTTATGACATTTAATACACCTGACGTTGCGTACTTGAATACCAAATGGCTGATCTCTGATTTCTTGGTCACCTTTGCAGTAGCTGAACATTTAGGGAAGAAATATATGGATTAATATTAAATTTGAGTTATATATGTACAATTAAGATAATGTGTTCTATAACTAACCTTTCACGGGGTGCATTATACTTTCGTTGCCACTCAAACTTAAATTCAGGTTCATCATCTTCCCTTTCTCTGTCCTTTTTAAGTCCAGGTGGTGGCTCGTAAAGGAAGTTGACACTGAGCTTTCCTTTACTCTCCTTACTCATCAAAGCCCTTGAGAACAGATAATAATTTTAAAGTGACATGCCAAACCAGAATGGGAGTGTTGTTCCCTATGATCGTGTACATCATTTCCAAAGAAACATTATTTTTTATCAAATACTTACTTGTTGGTATACAAATCCTGCTCTTTCTCATACTGTACTCTAAGTTCCTCTTGCTTTTGCTTATATGCTGCAGTTTGCTGTTCTGCCATCCATACCTGAAGATTTAAATTGTGACATGAACGCAAAACAACAAAATAATAATTAAAAATACGAAATTACATCAAGAAAATTTAACATACCCTTTTGAGGTTATCCCTTGATGCAGGATGGAAGAATTTCTTGCACATGTAATTATTAAAGCCTTTCCCCATTTTAGAAGATTAATATAAAACACGAAATAGACAAAAAAAAATCTACTCTTCAGCTTATGAACGAAGCTGGTTTTTTGTTCAAAACGTCAAACGCCAACTGATCACTGATTTCACAACTTTCGTACGATCAAGATTTTGTAAGATACGATTGTTTTCGTTGCTTTCCTTTTCGTTTTTTTGCTCTTCAATGACAGTCCAGGTGTGTTCGTATTCTACACGTCATTCAACATTTTCTTTCGACCACAGTAGACCAGCAGAGACGACCTCAGTAGAAGAAGAAGAAGAAGAAGAGAAGAAGTCCCAAAAGAAATCCAGAGAATCCAAACAACGTGTTGTATGAGCGGCACGTGTGACTTGACTTCTTGATGAATTTTTAATATTTGGACTGGTTTACTGTCATTGAACACGAACCAAAATGGGGCGGAAAGCTAAGTTTGCTGAGGAGGTCGTTCAGAAAAAAGGGCCAGGACGTAAATCTAGAAAGCAAAAAGATCCTGAAATTCCAAAAGTTGAAGGCAAGTGCTTGGTTATGTTTTTCTTTCTATTAGTTTCATCTAGATAGTCAAGAATTGCATTTACTTCTTTCAGATGCCATTTTCATTCTCAGTTGTGTCATTTTTATTCAATTATTGGTGTAATTAATAATTTCATTTGCCAATCTATCCCTTTTAGGCAGCGGGGTTACTAAGAGACTTAGTAGCAATCAAAAGAAACGTATGAAAAAGAGAGCAATGAAAGTTCAGGAAGTTGTTGACAAAAAGAACGCTCAGGCTGAAAAACGGAAACTTCTTAATCTCAAAATTAAGGAACAACAAGCATCCAAAAAGATGGAGCCGAAAGACGGTGCACTGAAAGTTCTGAAAGCACCACCTAGCAAAGCACCTAAACCACTGCAGGCCAGCAATGGTATGTGCTTAAAGTTCCTCATGTGACTGAAATCTTCTCTTAAGTGACGTAATAATCTTTGTAATCTTTATAATTCGAACTTTTCCAGGCAAAGTGAAGAAACCCGTTCAGTATCATTCATCGTCAGAGGATGAAAGTGACGAGGAGACAGCTGAAAGTGACCAAGATAGTTCAGAAGAAGAAAATTCCAAAGGTTTCACAGATGATAACAGCTCTTGGCTGAAGCCGGTCTCCAAGAAGCTCCCAGCTAAAATACTTTCATCTAAAGATGAGAGTGATGAGGAGGAAGAAGAGGAGGAGGAGGATGATGACGATGATGATGATGATGATGATGGGAGCGATGAGCTGGAAGAAGAGGAGGGGGATGGTGAAGAATTAGAAGAAGAAGAGGAGGAGGAGGACGATGATGATGATATGGGTGAGGAGGAGGAAAGTGATGGGGGTGAGGAGGAGGAAAGTGAAGATGATAGTGAAGGTAATGAAAATAGTTCTCCAGTGTTGAAGAAAGGAAAGAAGGAATCAGTCTCTGTGCAGAGTCTAGACATGGATTCTGATGACTCAGACGAAGACAATGATGATTATGGGTCAGACTCTGAAGAGGCAGCTGAAAGTAAAGATGATGAAAGTGATGAGGATATGCTCCCCATTGAAAAGAAGGCCAAAAAGCTAAAGAAGAAACAAGAAAAGGATGAGTAAGTTCAGTTCTTTGCCGCCTGAAACTTGAGTTATAAATGTTAGTGTTTGTTGACAATTATTTTTCTTCTTTACAGTAAACTTGCAGAAGAGGAATTGCAGCTTAATATTGCCAGCCAAGATGTCTTTGCTTTTCCCACTGAGGAGGAAATCAAGAAGCCTAAGGACTTACAAGATGTGCAACAGCGTATTAAGGATGTTATAACTGTGTTGAATGATTACAAACGTTTACACCAAGACGGCAGGTGAGTATTCTATTTATGTGGAATTTTTAGTTGCATGAATTTAGAAACAAACTTCTCTTATCTATCATACTTTCTTTTTTGTTTCAGATCCCGATCAGAATATACTGATCTCTTGAGACAAGATCTGTGTACGTACTACAGTTACAATGATTTCCTGATGGAAAAGCTGATGCAAGTTTTTCAGCTGTCTGACCTTTTGGAGTTTCTAGAAGCTAGTGAAGTTCAGAGACCTCTCACAATAAGAGTTAACAGTCTTAAAGCAAGAAGAAAAGATGTGGCACAAGTAATAATAACTTAATTATTTCTGTTTTGTGTTTATATTACGTTTTTTTTTTAAGTTGTTTTTAATTTGTTTATTAGGCTTTAATCAACAGAGGAGTTAATCTTGACCCCCTTGGTAAGTGGACAAAAGTTGGACTGGTTGTTTATTCATCTCAGGTACCTATTGGTGCGACTCCTGAGTACTTGGCTGGCCATTATATTATTCAGGTAACTAATTATAATGAGTGGGTTGTCCATTCAATCAATGTACTTTGTGCTTCAGTTTCTTGAGCTACCTCATTTATTTTCCATTTAATAACTTCTTTTTATCTTTTAGGGTGCCTCTAGTATGCTGCCTGTAATGGCATTGGCACCTAAAGAAAATGAACGAATACTTGATATGGCATCAGCTCCTGGCGGAAAAGCATCTCACATTGGTATGTTGAGCACAATTCTTAAATTTGCATTTTGCTCCTTAACTAATCTTAGGTTTTAAAAGAACTTTAAGAGAGTCCTGATCAATTTTTGTTTGGTCTGCTCCACATTATTATAGCTGCTGCTATGAAAAACACTGGAGTCTTATTTGCAAATGATGCCAACAAAGATCGCACCAAAGCTGTTGTTGGAAATTTCCACCGCCTTGGAGTGGTTAACAGTGTTATAACCTGCTATGATGGTAGAAAGATTCCCAATGTATGTTCTCAGTAACTTTTACTACTTTTATATTCAGATTCCCCAACTATCATTCATATTTTAATTTGAATATTTTTCAGGTTATTCAAGGATTTGACCGTGTTCTACTAGATGCACCATGCACAGGTACTGGAGTTGTGTCAAAGGACCCCAGTGTGAAAACCAATAAGGATGAAACCGACATCCAGAGATGTTGCACACTTCAAAGAGAACTATTACTTGCTGCCATTGATTGTTTAAATGCTCGTTCCTCATCTGGTGGTTATTTAGTATACTCAACCTGTTCTGTTCTTGTAAGGAATCACTAAGTTCATTTCTCAGTCGCTTAAATGTTTTGAACTTGCTATTCATACACACTTCACATTTTGGCTTAGGTTGAAGAAAATGAATGGGTCATTGACTATGCCTTAAAAAAGAGAGCAGTTCGCCTTGTTCCCACTGGTCTTGACTTTGGAACAGAAGGGTTCACCAAATTCAGGCACTTAAGGTAAGTCTGCTCATTGTCTGTCTTTCCTGTATCAGTTAATTTTCATGTCTACAGTCTACTTTATTTATTTTCTTGTAGGTTCCATCCATCGTTAAATTTGACTCGCCGCTTTTATCCTCATACGCACAACATGGATGGCTTCTTTGTTGCTAAACTCCAAAAACTTAGTAATACAATTCCTAAGACTCTTAGTTCAGATGGAACTGAAGGGGAGGTTTCTGTAGACAACAGTGATGAAGAAAATAATGACTCTAAAAAGTCAGAAAAATCTAAGAAGAAAGACAAAAAGAAGAAACCAGCTCAACAAGAGTCGCAAAATGGCAAATCACCCAACAGCTCTCCAACTAAAAATGACAACAAAAAGGTCAAAAAAGAAAAAAAGAAAAATGGAAAGAATACCACTAGTTCAACTATTATTAATGAACAAAGTCCAAGTTTAAGCCCTGGCGTAGATAAACAAAAGCAAGGTGTCAGTGTTACAAAGCAAAAAACTAAATTAAAAAATAAGGCTAAAAAAGTTAAATCCCCAGGTAACAAAATGTCAAAAAGTCAAAGTCCTGGTGGTAAAAAGAAGAGAAACTCTAATTCTGTGAGCTCTGATGTAAGTACAGGAAAATCTCCCAACAAGAAATTGAGAAAATAGGTCAATTAGATTGTTCAATATGTCTCCAGATAAGAGCCAAACAAGTGCCTTTGCAAATCATTTAATAAATTTTGTTGTGTTCTATTAAACAAGCGTTTATCTTAACCTCACTCCCACCACTGCTCCATTTCACCATGTCACCATTTCTGTTAACCTTTTCTTCTCTGCAATAATAAGTGCTCATTCTCGTCAATTTCTGCATGTCAGTAGAGATCCTAAGCAAGAAAATGCATTCAAGATTCAAGATAAAGAATTTATTAAACCCCAAAGCTCCCTGTACATCTATTTTCATTGAATTTCTTATCTAAATCACAGCAGCTACAATTTTCCAGCAATAAGGGTTTTTTAATCTTTACACAAAGCTCACAAATTTTTCTAACATGTCAGGTACTAAAGTAAATATATTTTTAATGTCTGATTTGGTAAATGTGTAGTTTTGATTCTAGGAATTTTTGGTGAGACTTGCTTAAATTGAAACTTGATTGAAAGATGAGTGTTTTTGAACTATGTATAATTTAGGTTTAATGTGTGCGCACATGCTACAACATCTCTAACTGCTCATGGAATATTAAATTTAAGAAATAGAGCTGCCTTAAGTACAGTATAAACTCCCTAATATGATAACTATTCTACTGTTGTATTAAGTACAAAGGGCATCATAGGAAACCTACGGCAAGCCAAAATAGTTGCAGAAAATGAATAGAACATCTTTTACTGCTGTATGCAACTGCTCTCCAACTTGAGTGGAACAAAAATTGTTTGCTTGAAGCATGAGAGGTAATACTTGACAATAATTATATGTAGAAAAGTGTATTACGTATTTTACAGACCCTACTTGTTAATGAAGCTTAATGTATATAAAAATATTCATTGTGATATTTACAGATGCAGCATATGCCCTAGGTAAAGCAAGTAAAGCAAGATATTTAAATGTGTGTTACTAGGAAGAAACTATGTACCTAAGCATTAAAAAAAAATCTTGAAGTTTTGGAAAGAATTAATGGAGTTAGTTCAACATTTTTTTCTTAGGCCCTCAACGCCCCTCAGTTTTGAGGAGTAGTTTGCATTTGCCTTTCATTTTTTCTGGTTTGTTCGAGCTAACTGGGGGGAAGGACCGAACCGGTATGGATGCAGCATATAATGTCACAAAAATTTCATCGCACTGCATCAGATTGGGAGCTATTAAACGCAACGTTTATATTATCATTATCATTTGGAGTAGTTTTGGTGTATGTGTGTGTAATGGTGACACCCCTATCTCCTCTTTCATTCACCATACAGAGCATTTGTCTGCCGGGTTCATCGGGGAGCCAAGTGGACAGTCGAAGGCTTCGGCGAAGTCGTTGGAGTTGGAGAGCGGTCCGAGGACCCGGATGGGCCCCGGCGGGTGCACGGACGAGCGCACCTTGCTCAGAGCGTCCTCGGGCCGCATCGACCCGCACCAGATCTGGGCGTAGTTGAGGAAGAATAGCTGGTTGTGCGTCAAGTTGATGCCAGGAAGGCGAGGCTCTTCGCCGTGCTTGGCAACCCATTTCCGGTAAGCCTGCAACCCACATTTAGAAAATTATGGAGAAGAGTACCCCACAACCCTACAGTAGCGTCAGTGCATCGATGCACACCAAAATCCGCTTAAGATCCCACAGTTTCAGCGTGTTTTGTGCGTAAAATGCGGCTTTGATGCGCATTAAATTTGCTATGAATACGGGACCTATTATGCCCATTTTCATGCTCCCTGGCCTGTGGATGAACGTTACTCGAGGAGACGTCACTGCCTAGTAAGCGAGTTCGACAATCGACACAAGGAAGCGTGAGGTCCTTGCCCCGAAATGAAAAAGAAAGTGTTCTGATTTCGTCATCACATACTGTGGATCACGCAAGCTGGCCGATAATCGTGGCTGCCCTGGGGATGTAGCGCTTAGCGCCTGCAACGAGCTGGTTAGGCCAACCCGCCAAGCACCCATGTTGAGCCGGCGGCCCGCCCTGCCCTGCGAGCTGCGAGCGTCTCTATTGGGGGCTCGGGGATCATGAACCTTGGGCCAAAAGAGGCCTCGTGGTTAGTCAAGTCAAGTCAAAAGGGCGTCACGCCGAGGACCGTTCACACTGCGGGGCGTAATAAAAAAAATCCTTTTACTGACGCGGAATGATTGTTTGAGACCGCCGTTGTCGGCGATGTTCTCCCCCTGCGTCATGCGGCCGTTGATGAAGGAGGTGATGTCCGGCAGCCTGTAGCGGTTGTACTGGTCCACGATGCACTGCGCGCGCTCCCGGAACGCGCGCACCGTCGCGTTGTTCCACCACTGCATCAGGTTGCCGTCCTTGTCAAACTGGCGGCCTGATGGGCGAAAGGCGGACGTCAGCTCACTTTTGAACACACGTGTCAACTTCTGCTGCCAGCTGCCGGGCTCACTGCTCACCTTTGTCATCGAAGCCGTGCGTTATCTCGTGACCGATGACGACCCCGATGCCTCCGTAGTTGAGCGACTTGGGGAAGTACTTGGAGTAGAAGAGGGGTTGGAGGATGCCGGCGGGGAACACTGCAACATGAGACACAGAGTGTAAGACAGTCCCTTTTGAAACTGTCCGCACCAGAACGGGGCGGACTCGTCGCCACGGCCGCGCATCCCTGCAAATTACGAACTTATGTCGTTTTTGTTCGGGTTGTAGAAAGCGTTGACGACGACGGGCTCCGTGGACCACTTGTCCCTGTTCACCGGCTGGCGCAGGTTCTGAAAGTTGTGGTACGCCTCGTAGCGGAGCACATTGAGGATGTTGACCAGGAACTGGCCAGGAGTCACGTTCAGCTGCGGGGGCACACGGAGAGAGTGAGGAGCACGGCGAAGGTGCCAAGGGGGGTGCGAGACCGTGCGAGACGTTATACCATGATGTACTCCTGGTTGAGCTCGGCCGGGTTGGTCAGCATGTCAGGGTACCCGATCCGCTCGTTCATCGCGTCCGCCTTCTCCTTGGCCACGGCCCTGGTCTCGTCGTCCATCCAGGCGTTCTCCGCCAGCAGCTCGTTGAAAGCGCCTCGGATGTTGTGGATCATCTCGAGCGCCGTTTCCTGCCGACATGGAGGGTGGCGCGGGCTTGTGCGGAGCGCGAAGCAAACGAGAACCCCAGTTGGAGGGAGAAGGCAGCCTGTAGGTTTACCTTGCTCTCGTGGTTGAAGTTGTCCCGGATGAAGAGCGCGCCCACGGCCATGCCCAGCTTCTTGTTGGTCAGCTCGACGCACTGCGCCCAGCGCGGCCGCTCCGACAGTATGCCGTGCAGCACCCGCCGGAACTCGACCCGCTTAGACGCGTACTCGTCAATCATGTGCGGGATGACGGTCATGACGAGGCGCCAGAGCACGTAATTGTGCACCACTCTGCAAGTGGTTGTTTGAAAGTCATATTTGCGTTTGAGACTAAGTGCTTGCGGAGGGATTGCGTTTCTCAAGGCAGGTGCACTCACCTCCTGTCGGTTTCGGCCAGGATCTTGCCCATGGACCTGAAGTACGGCAGGCCGTAACAGACGACGGGCTCCTCCCTCGAGATGTCGGTCTTGAGCACCGTCTTGAGGAACAGGTGCCAGTCGAGCTCAGGTACGTCCTCTTGGAGGCGCCACAGCGGCAGCTGCTGGTAGTTGAGGGAGGTGTCGTGGCGGTCCGCCTCTGGGAGCGAGGCCTGTGGGTGGGTGGGTAAGTCAGAATACAGATAGAGCGTTCACTAAAGTCAATAAAGCATTGCCAGGCGGAGTTCGGTCGTGGCACCAGCTCCACCACCACCTTACCTCGGCCAGGCGCTTCTCGAAGTTGATGACCTCTGTGATCTCCTGCGCCACGGTGGCCTTGTCCGCGCCCATGAGCATGGCCACCTCCGTGACGTACTTGTGGTAGGCCTTAATTTCGGTCTCGGTGCTTGTCTTGAGGTAGTAGTCCCTGGAGGGGAGTGCCAACTGCAACTGGTCCAGCTGGGGAGCACGAAACAATGGTCACTACTTGCATACCTCCCCCCCCCCACACACACACACACGCGCGCACTCACCTGGAGAATGTTCACTGAAGAGTTCTTGTCGTCGGGACCAACCCACTGCTGGAAGAGCACGCCTTCGCTCAGTTCTCTGAGGCGGCCCAGGAGCACCTCTAGCGGGTACTCGGGGGGCTTCCACCCGGGCACGGTCACGGGCCACCCGCCAAGCGAGGTCAGCACCTTCTTCAGGGGCACGTCGCCCACCTTCCGAATCTGGTCTGCAGACAGAATAGAAACGGTGTTCCACCTTAACTGCTCGCGCTCTCGCCCTTCCCCTTCCCCTTATCCCACCAGCTTCTTGCTGTATATTTGCCGGTTCGCTCTTGGGCGAGCGGATATTAAGTTTCGACGCGCACGCATGAAATGTTAATTCTCATCTCCTGCCAGCTCCGTCTCACTGCCCCCTCCCCCCACGCCCCGGTCTTCTCCTCCCCCTCTCTTTCTGGTCCGACGTTTACTCACTCAGGTCCATGCACGACTTGTAGAAGATCTTGGCCTTCTTCGTGGCGTTGGAGTCGTTGACGTTGACGTCCTCGTCGAGGATGCCCTTGAGGATGTGGTTGAGCTGCTCGGCGAGGACCTCAAACGTGCTGATGGACGACCTGTCCTCAGGGATGAGGTGCCGCTTGTTCCAGGACCCGCACGCGTACTGGAAGAAGTCCTGGCACGGCGAGGCGGAGCGGTCCATGGCGGACAGCAGCGAGGCGGCTGGAACCGAGCCCGAGCCGGCGAAATCAGTCGAGGGCCGCGGGTTATTTCGCTTCATTTCGCTCCCTTCGCGAATCGTTTCTTAACCGCGCCGTTATTATTTCAGACCATTTCGCGATCATTCCCCGAACAGCAAATGAGCGCACGACTTGATATCTTCGCAAAGTGGTGGGGGCGCGGCGGGGTCAACACAACACGGCGCACAAGTCGCCCGGTGACGACGCGGTCCTGGGCTTGATGCCCGGGTGCCAACGGCTCTGACAGGCCTTAAAGGGCCATTCGTTATCGGCCCCGCCGTGTGCTCTGCAACGTGAACAGAGTCCTCCTCGACTCTGCTCAGCCCCCCTCCCCCCTCTCTTTCTCCCACTGCTGCACACATTGAGTCGCGCCCTCCCTCCACTCCATTCAGGGCACCCAGCTTTTTGTTTGGAATCCTCCCTGCTGCCGCTCGGCTTGTCCTGCCCAGGCCGAGCCCCTGTTGTGGTGGTGGTGGTGGTGGAGGTGGTGGTCCAGCTCACCCCCACCCCCTCATCCCGAGGCAGCCCATCGCTGGTGTTAGTGGGGCTATTTTTACGCGCTTTGTTCTGTCGGCCCAATCGGCCAGGGTTGGTCCATAGCGCCCGCGGCGCCCGCCCGGTGCCTCCACCCCGACCTCCCGGCCCTCCACAGCCACACTGCTCACGTTCTCATCAGCTGCACTCTCGTCGACGTGATGGTGCGCGGCGAGGCCGGGCGAGGCCTCCCCTGCCTACCCGAGCCGCACCGCCGCCCGCTGCTACCACAGCGGTACCGCGGGGCCCGGTGAGCCGGGACAGGGGTGGGTGGCCCAGGGCCATTATGAAACGCACCGGGCTGGAAGTTAATTCCGAGTCGTCGCCCTGCTCCTTTCTAGTGCCCCTCCCTCCACCACCCCTCCTCCCCTCCTTGCACTCCCCCCCCCCTCTACCCCCGTCTCGTCAGCACGCTGCCATTTCTGCTGCCTCTGCGCGCGGCCCTGGCTGCGGGCCCCTCAAATTCCCTCCACCTAAGTGGCACCGGCCGGCACCCCCGCGTGACCCTCTACTTCAGCACTAGGGGTCCCAAGCCGAGGGGAGGGGACGCGGTGGGGAGACCCGGCCGGCGGGGTGGAGGAGGAGTGGCATAATTGCCTTCACTCTTCACTGTTATAACTTGAGGTGCTCTGAGACAGACATTCCGCTTGGTTTGGCGTTGTGCCGCAGGAAATTTAGCGCCCTGGGCAGGGCCTAATATCTCCTTTAGCAATAAGTGAAAGAGACGAGGAATCGAACACATATGAGATGGGAAATGCCGTTTGTATACAAAAGGACCGGTCCTGTGCTAACACAGTGACTAACGACTAAAGTTCATTTTGCGTTTTTGAAGGGGTGTTTAGGGAGAAAGGGGGAAATTTTCAAAGGTTAGGATCGTCTTTTGATATGAAAATGAAACGCAACGGAAAGTGGAGTGGATTTCCCCCTTTCTCACCGCTGGGCATTACAGTACCGGATGTAACTATGAATACGCAGCAGTGTTGCGGGATTGCATACTCAATATGGCCGCAGGGGCCATGGCTCCTTACGGGTGTAAAGAGTAGGCAAACCCGCAACACTGCTGCGCATTCACAGTCACACCCGGTACACATTCGGTAATCGTCGGTGGCCGCTGCTGGGGTTATGCGACAGAGTTCGGCAACAGGTGTGGAGCTCGAATCTCGGGCCCTTGGCTGGGCGGCCTCCGTATTCGAGGCGAGGCGACCCTCACACCGGAGTTGGGAAAGGGGAGGGGAGGAGGGGGGGTTCGCAAACGCGAGAATAGAACGTTAGAACGCCCGATTTGTGATTTGGAAGGTCGAGGAAGCCATCGTGGTCCTCGCTGCTGGGTCCACCCCCCCCCCCCCACTCTCACAGCGTTATCGAACATCGGATACAAATCAAAGACACATAAATTCATTAAAAACACCTTGCGAATCCCCGAGGCAGGCCTGTAACGCTTGTGTTCTGCGGCGGCAGAGGGGTCCCGGTCCCCTTGTCCCCTTCTTTCCCCTACTTGGCGCTAATGTCCCGCAGAGATAGTAGTCGATTTACCCCTCCCCCCCTCCCGAGCCACGCGCCTGTGCTCGCCGGCTAGGTCCGCCTTGAGGCAGGTGGCCAATTTATAGATCGGACGTAAATCTCCGGGCTAAACCTGACGCTCTCTCTACAGTGTTTGTTGGTCCCGGCCGCGTTCGCCCGCCCCGCCCCGCCTTGCCCCGCTCCGCCCTGCCCCGCACCGCCTTCCGCCGCCCTGCCGTGTGGGGATTAAAGGGGTCTGGAGGGGTTCACTTCAGCGTTACGGCCGAGGGGCGTGGCGGGGCGGGCGCCTGCGGACGGTTAGCAGTAGAACGGCCACAGGGGTTGTAGAGGAACGCGTGGCGTGGTGAGCGCTCTCACAAACACACACATGCAGGAGCACACACGCTTCGGCGCGACACACACGCACGCGCGCGCACACACACGCACACACACACACAAACTTCATGCACCAGCGCTTAATGGCCTCTACCGACGACACTGCCGCGCGGGATCAAGGGCGTGACTGCGAAACTAAATGCTTCGCGGCCTCGTGGTGGGGGAAGCGTGGCGCGGCGGGGGGCGAAGGAGCAGGGCGCCCGCCTGGCGCACGCTGCTGTACCGCACGGGCGGCCGGTGGTACCCGCCCGGGTGTGCTCGGCAGGGTTCGGAGTAACTTGTAACAGTAACAGTAAGTTACCGGTAACGAGTTCCTTTTTTGGGTAACGGTAACAGTAACTCTTACTTTTCTCAGTTTCGGTAACTGTAACGGTAACTGGTTACCTATTTTCCGGTAACGATATCAGTAAATCGTCGTTACCGTTACTTTTCAAAGCGACAGCGCACGGCGGTTCTCCTTTCTACGCAACTCCGCCCCAACTGCGTATTCCCGTCCTCCGATTTTCTTGGAATGTCTTTGTTTTGTCACTACTCTGCTCACATGTGTTTCGGGCGGGAGAGAGGGGGGGGGGGCAGAAAAAAAATTAGGGACAGGCAAGCAAAAGTGGCTGGCCAGGCGTCCGGACCCCGGAACCAACCCTGACCTTGCTCCTGCTGCTTTCTGTGCGCAAACAGACAAGTCACAATACCACCAGATGAGTTTGGGGGAGGAGGGGGGGGGCGTGCGAGAGCATCGATGTACTTGTCTCTCTCATGCATAGGCTGCAAGTGGAGGCAGACGGAGACGGAGGCAGGTAGTGCGGGTGGGACACTCGGATGCGGACTGTCGACGTCGACCGGGCGGGGAGGGAGACGGGTCGGGGCCCGGGCCGGCCGTGCTAGGAACAAAAGGCGTGAAAGTACGGGCGAGGCCTGGTGGACCCCAGCCGGCCGGCATCAGCAGCTATTCGACCTTCCGATGATCCCTAAAAGCGTAAATGAGAAGAGGCCGACAGCATTTCTGTATCCTGGGCCGCCTTGATACGGGGGTGTTTTGAAAGAAAAAGGCCGTGTGGTAATTTTGTGCCCCCCCCCCTCCCCCTCTGCCCCGGTCCGGCAGGTCGTCGCCACCCCGCGAGCCAGCGCAATGCGCGGCGTGGTGGCAGGGAAGCCCAGGATGGGTAGGGGGGCCCTGTTATGAATATGTGTCTGTTTTTGCAATAGGATTGCATTACTGCAAGATAATAATGTAAAATAAAATGTAAATTTTTTAGAACTATTTGAATTTAAAAAACAAAACAATCTATTTTGTTTACGGTGTAGTAATAGTAAAGTAACGAGTTACAAATTTTGGGGTAACGGTAACGTAACTAGTTACTTTTTTGGGGACGGTAGCGGTAACGGTAACTAGTTCTCAATTGACGGCGAGGTAACAGTAACGGTAACGATTACTTTTTTTCAAGTAACTTTCCGAACCCTGGTGCTCGGCGGGGCGGAGCGCCCGCGGACCGGTGGATAGGCCGCCCGCCGCACAGCGGCGTGCGCCGGGCGCCAGGACGCCGTCCAGAGCACGCGCACCCCTCAAGGAAGCACTCGCAGGACATGACTCACCGGTTCTGACGCACTCCTCCGACAGGCAGGTGTGAGACTCGGGTCCTGTGTGGGGCAGCAACAAATGTCGTTAGAGAAACAGCATAATTTATCGTTTGTCCAGGACGGGTAAAGAAGGAAGGAAAACGTTGTTTCACGACCATGGCGGCGCGGCGGCCGGTCCATATAAATACATGAAACCGATTCGGGCATGACAATCGGTCCACTCTTGCCGATCATCTGGATAGTTTTTCTTCAAAAACAAGATTGTCATTGTTACACCTTGAAACAAGTTTGCAGTTGTACCATGTAGCAAATACACAATAGGAAATCTGCTAGATCCTGGTCAGTTTGCTGTAGTGTAACTAGCAGGGCAGAGCACTTATGAGTATTTACCATCCTTTCTTTCTTCTACACCACACTGATTTTATATTTTTATTTTTTAAACCACTGCTCGTACAACACTAAAAATAAATATTTTTTTTACCGGACATTATTGGATCCTGTTTTCTCCTCGTAAAAGTGTAAAATAAAATAAATGACAGGTAAATAACAGCGATGACCGCGAGAGCGAGTGAAGCACGGCTCTCCGGGGGCCACCACGGTGCCGTGCCGGGGGCCTTGTGACGCCCCGCCCCGCCCCACCTTGCCACGCCCCGACAAAGACGGATCCCACCTGCGCCTGTGGTTGCTGGCGAGCTGCCCCGGCCTGCCAGCCGTGCGCGGCACACGGTGTGGTCCATGTGTGAGTCCCTCGGGGGCTCAGGGCGGG